GTGTGCATGCTAGATGAGAGAGGAGGGTTGCTCTACGTATGCTGTCTTTGGCCTGACAGAGTGGCATAAATCCAACCTGGTCTTTATGTATAAGTTGTCCAATATCCTAGTTGAGTCTGCTTGCTAATATTTTAGCTAGGGTTTTAATGTCCAAATTAAGTAGGGATATGGGGCAGAAATTGGCCCAGAAAGTGTTATCAGAATTTGACTTGGGAATCATGCAAATTGATGCAGCTAAGGTATCCTTGCGAAGGAGAAATGGGATCTCAGAGCATTAAAAGATGAAACCAGGATCGGGGCAAGGAGGACGGAGAATGTTTTTATAATAAAGAGCAGGAAAACCATCAGGGCCTGCTCGCTTATGAGTTTTGAGAGATTTTATGGCGAGGTGGACTTCTGAGTCCGTAATTGGATCTTCTAGGAGTTGTTTGGTGTTGCATAGTTACATAGTATTTGAGGTTAAATAAAGACATAAGTCCATCAAGTCCAACCTATTGCTGATGTGTGCATATGTATAGGTCCACATATCATCTCGTTCTTAATACCTGTACCCCTGTATATTACGGTCTCTCAGGAAATCGTCCAAAAGCTTCTTGAATGATTCCACACTCTTAGCTGAAATCACTGCCTGTGGCAACGAGTTCCAGACCCTAACAGCTCTAACTGGGAAGAACCCCCTTCGCCCCTTGTGCTGGATTTTTTTTCCCACCAATTTTAGGTGGTGGCCTCTAGTCTTTGTTAAGGAGTTAATCGTGAAGAGTTTGTTGCTAATGTTGCTGTCACCATTGAACATCTTGTACATGAAAATCATATCCCCCCTTTAAGCTCCTTACTTCAAACGTGAACATGTTTAAATTTAGTAGCCTTGTCTCATAGCTCTGGTCCTCCATTTCCCCTAATTAGTTTGGTTGCCCTCCGCTGGACTCTCTCCAGCTCAAGGACATCTTTTCTGAGTACCAGTGACCAAAACTGGACCGCATACTCCGGGTGAGGCCGAACCAGTGATCTATAAAGTGGCAAAATTATAGACTTGTCTCTGCAATACATTCCCTTCTTAATACAGGACAGGACTCTACTTGCTTTGTTTACAGCATCCTGGCACTGCAAGCTACCATTCAGTTTGTGGTCTACAATGACTCCCAAATCTTTTTCTATTTCTGACTTCCCTTGTGGCATACCCATAATTGTATAATCCATTTGCTTATTTTTAACCCCAAAGTGCATTACTTTGCATTTATCGACATTACACCTCATCTGCCATATATGTGGGACTCCCCTATTTTATTCAAGTCCTCCTGTAATGTTATACTGTCTTGGTCCGTTTCTATTACCCTCCTGATTTTGATATCAGCAAACACTGAAACATTGCTCTTCACACCCTCCCCGATGTCGTTAATAAACAGGGTGAACAGCATGGGACACAGCACAGAACCTTGAGGCACACCACTCATGACACTAGCCCAGTTTGAAAAGCTGCCATTTATTGATACTCTCTGCACACGTTCCTGTAGCCAGTTCTCTATCCATGTACACACCATTTCATCTATGCCCATAGATCTCAGCTTGTGTAGTAAGTGTTTGTGTGGTACCGTATCAAAAGCCTTTGAGAAATCCAGATATACCACATCCACCGGCCTCCCTCCATCCAGATCTCTACTTACCCCCTCGTAAAAAGTTAGCAAGTTAGTCTGGCAGGAACGGTCTTTCCCGAACCCATGCTGATTATCACTAACTATGCCATTATCCTGAACAAATTCTACCAGATAGTCCTTAATCATTCCCTCTAACAGGAATTTGTGGAATGGAAGGGTAAGAGAACAGAATATCCGCAGAATCTTTGGACAAAGTGTGGTCCGGAGTGTAGAGTCGTGCTAAATGGTTGCTAAATTCATCTACAATTTTGGTTGGTTTATTGGCAAGGGAACCATGACAGGTACAAAGGGTCAGGTCTAAGTTACGAAGGCGAGATGCCAGCATCGTGTCAGGCTTATTAGCATGCATATGGAAACAGTGTTTTGTCCTTCGTAATATGATGTCAGTTTTATGGGTGGGTAGTAGGTTCAAATCCCGACATGCTCCTTCGAGTCGACGACGATTAGCAGGTGAAGTGAAGAGGGAAAATTCTGTTGAAGCCTCCAGAAAAGTACTTTCCAGAATTATTTGTCTTTGCAATTCGTTCTCGTTTAATTGTAGAGGAGAGCTCTATGCATTTCCCCCTGATTACTGCCTTGTGGGCGTCCCAGAACGTTATCGGAGATACGTCCGGTGTAGAGTTATTGGCCAAGTAATCCCAGATAGCTGAGTGAATGGAGAAGACACTGGTTTCATCTGACAAGATATTCATTAAGGGACCAAGAAGGGGAGGGGGAAGTGGAGATTATGGAAGAGAGGGACAGAGTTACTGCGGAATGGTCCGACCAGGAGATAGGTAGGATTGAGGCAAACATAAAAATCCGGCGCACAGATCTAAGTGCAGTATAAAAGTGACTGTTTAATAAAGGATAAAAGTAATGCACTTACAGGATATTAAAAAACATCTCGCCTGTCACGCATCAGATGAAAGTCCAATCTCAGCTGCTGGTCCAACATTGTTATCAGGATATGGAGAGAGCAGAGTCCAGTCCAGAAAGATTCTAATAAAGAAATAACGTCACCAGCACGCCAAAGGATAATCAAGCAGTAGTCCATTTATTGGCACATTGCCATTCAAATGCAAGCGCTTTTGGGGCTTCAAAGGGTCCCCTTCATCAGGCTCAGAATGAATATATCGTGCATACCTCTTCTCCTGATTAATCACCAGTTTAACTGGAGCTCCTTTGACACTATCAATATACAGTCCATAAACAATCGATCTAGTTTCGCAAGTTTCTGACTTCTGTTTTTACGTAGGATTGAGGCGGATTTTATCAAAGGAAGTGTAGTTTGGGTGAGGAAACTATGGTCTATCCTGGAAAAGGAGTTTTAGGGGGAGGAATAGAAAGTGTAATCTCGCGTAGTAGGATGCATTTCTCTCCAGGCATCTATGAAGGCATATTTGGCTAAGAGAGTGGTAAAGGGTGAAGAGGGGTAGGAGCTAGGCTGAGTTTTAGGAGATTTATCAAGAATGGGGGAGAGAGGTAAATTTGTGTCTCCACATAGGAGGAGTAAGCCTTTTTGATGGTGAGCAATGGTGGAAAGAAGGTGATGAAAGAAACCCACCCAAAACTCACTCGTCCATGTCTTTATGGACCTTGCTTTGTGCACTGGTGCACAGTCATGTTAGAAAGGAACAGGAAGGGGCCATCCCCAAACTGTTCCCACAAAGTTGGGAGCATGAAATCGTCTAGGCGTATCGAATATGCGTGCGTTTCGTGCCACAGGTTTTTACAACGATTCGCGGTTTAAAAAAACGCGCTACAAACGCGAGTTTCCGAGGGCCGCCTAACTGTATCCCAATGGATACATGCGGCAAATACGCCCCAAAGAAGCTCCTGTACTTCTTTGGGCGTAGGGCGTTTTGCAGCGCGTTCCTACGCGATGTAAAGCGCCCAGTGGGAACCATGCCCATAGGCAATCATTGGTTTTCACATGTTGAGCGTTTTACAGAGCATAGGAACGCGCTGTAAAACGCCCAGGTGTGAACCAGGCCTAAGAGTTTCCATCACTGGAACTAAGGGCCAAGCCCAACCCCTGAAAAACAACCCCACACCATAATCCCTCTCCACCAAACTTTACACTTGGCACAATGCAGTCAGGCAAGTACCGTTCTTCTGGCAACCACCAAACCCAGACACGTCCACCGGATTGCCAGATAGAGAAGCGTGATTTGTCATGCCAGAGAACACATCTCCTCTTCTCTAGAGTCCAGTGACAGTGTGCTTTACACCACTGCATCTGACGCTTTGCATTGCACTTGGTGATGTAAGGCTTGGATGCAGCTGCTCGGCCATGGAAAACCATTCCATGAAGCTCTCTATGCACTGTTGTTGTGCCAATCTGAAGGCCACACGAAGTTTGGAGGTCTGTAGCTATTGACTCTGCAGACAGTTGGCAACTTCTGCGTACTGTGCGCTTCAGCATGCGCTGACCTCACTCTGTCATTTTACGTGGCCTACCACTTTGTGGCTGAGTTGCTGTTGTTCCCAGTTGCTTCCACTTTGTTTATAATATCACTAATAGTTGACCGTGGAATATTTAGTAGCAAGGAAATGTCACGGATAGACTTATTGCACATGTGGCAACCTATCACGGTACTATGCTTGAATTCACTGAGCTCATGAGAGTGACCCATTCTTTCACACGTTTGTGGAAGCAGTTTGCATGCCTAGGTGCTTGATTTCATACACCTGTGGCCATGGAGGTGATTGGAACACCTGAATCCCAATGATTTGGATAGGTTTCCCAATACTTTTGGCAATGTAGTGTATTTTTTGGTATAGTCTAATCTGGCCTTTCTATTCATGAGGCTTACGAAGGGTTTGCACCTTGTGATAAATCCTCTGTATTTTCTCTCATTAAATCTTCTCTTTATGGTTGACTTGGATAATGATTCGCCTACCTGCTGGAGAGTGTTCTTCACTTTGCTGGATGTTATGAAAGGGTTTTTCTTTACCATGGAAAGGATCCCTTGATCATTCACCACTGTTTTCTGTGGACGTCCAGGCCTTTTTGTGTTGGAAGAGCTCACGAGTGTGCGTGTGTTTGTTTTTTCTCTCATTTTACCAAATTGTTGATTTAGCCACTCCTAATGATCCTGCTATCTCTATGATGGGATTTCTTTTTTGTTTTTGTTTTTGCAGCCTAAAAATTTCCTGTTTAGCTCTTCTAAATGCATGTTATGGGTTCACAGCAGGGTGGATTTGATTTAAATCATAATTTTTAAAGAGCAACTGTCATCTCTGTCCCGCAGCGGCTCCTCTAACCTGCTATTGACTCACCGACAGTCCCATTCACTTTAATGGGATGGCTGGTGATGCGGCAGTGACGCAACAGGGTGAGGGACGTGGCGGGCAGCAGGTGAGTGGATTTGCAAAACAATGGGATAAAGGAATATTCCTGAACTTTAGGATTTATCTCATGGTTGCTTACTGTGAAATTGTGTGACTGCATCGATGCAGTGCATGTTATCTCAGTTTGCAGAGCTTGGATTCATTGAATGAGTTTACCAAAAAGTTAAATATTGCAGAATATACAGCCTCATGCTACATAACTAAGCTCCATTTCATGCTGAATAAACTAAATAATGTATCTTAAAAAGAAAACTATCTTTAGATTACTCAAAGCATTTTATTAAAATAAATTTGATAAAAATAAAAAAAATCAGATTTTTTTTTTTTTATCCACCCTGGTTCACAGCAGTAGCTTCCAAATGCAAATGCCACACCTGGAATCAACCCCAGATCTTTTTTCCTGCTTACTTGATGAATGAAATAATGAAGTAATAGCTCGCCCCTGTCCATGAAACGGGTTTTGAGTCAATTGTTCAATTACTTTTGGTCCATTAAAAAAGAGGGAGCTACATTTTAAAGGGCTGTAATTCCTAAACCCTTCCTCCAATTTGGATGTGTATACCTTAAACAGAGCTGAGAGACTTTGCACTTTAAGTCCAGATTCTTTATTTAACTGTAACTTTTTGTAAACAGCCAAAATAGCAAAACTTGTGTTAGGGTGCAATTATTTCCAGACCTAACTCTATATACTGTATATGCATTGTACCAGGTTGGAGTTCAATTTTAAATGAAATGATCTCCATGTAGATGTGACATGCATATTGAAGAGCTTATTTTGCAGAAAGCAGGTAAATTATGCCTGTTGTGTTGTCTGCTTGTTTTCACTGTTTACAGTTTTTCTTGCAATTAGTTTGTTTTTCCCCCCTCTTTTTTGATAGGATAAAGAGCCATATCTGGCAGCATCTTCAGGCAGAAGCAATTTTAGCCTTCAAGACTCTGATTGTCCACCAGATGCTAAGGAGCGGTGAGTAATTGTACTTAATAGTTCACTTGGCTATGGGGTAGTGCTACATTTATTTTTCTTTAAGCCCACTGGAGGCTCCAATCATTTTTATCACTTTATAGTCCTGTACCCCTCCCCCACATGGTATGATTTGTCACTGATTTTTGCTTGGAAATTCCTTAAAATAGCCTTTTCTCTTACTGAAAATGCTGCTTCCAGCCTTAACACATGTTACATAGTATTTGAGGTTGAATAAAGACACAGGCCCATCAGGTTGAACCTTTTGATGTTTGTGCATCCGTGCATGTGTGTATGAGTCCCTGTGTGGTCTTAGTTTTTAAGAGTACCTGTACCCCTGTATGTTATGGTCTCTTGGGATGGTATCTAATTGATTTTTTTAATGAATCAATACTCTCTGCTGATACCACTGCTTGTGGCAGAGAGTTCCAAAGTTTAACACCTCTGACTGAAAAGAAGCCCCTACGACCTGTGTGGTTAAATCTTTTCTCCACCTATTTTAGGTGGTGGCCTCTAGTCTTAAGGTGCCCATACACCTGCCGATTATCTTAACGATAATCGCAGGAAATCCCGCAATCGTACGATAATCGGCAGGTGTATAGAAGGTGTTCGACCGTTTCTACTGTACGGTCGCACGTCTTTTGTCTTACGAGCAGGCTCGAAAACCCGCCGAGAATCGTACGATTGTCGGTGGGTTTGTGGCCGACAAATGCAGCACGAGCAGGTGTGCACACTGCCCGTTTAGCATTGCAGTCATATGCATTTAGTGGCGATGTTGCCATCGCCACTAAACATTCTGTACATCAAAGTCATGTCCCCTCTTAATCTTCTCACTTCCAGCGTTTGTGGTACAGTGTCAAAAGCTTTGTTAAGATCCAGGTACACTGCATCCACTGGCTTTCTTCTATCCAGATCTCTACTCTTTGTAGAATGTTAGTAGGTTGGTCTGACGAGAACGGTCCTTCATAAATCCATGCAGGTTATCACTTATTATACCTTTGTTACGAACAAAATTCACTAAATAGTCCTTTATCATTCCCTCAAACAGTTTGCATACTATACATGTTAGACTGACAGGTCTGTAGTTCTCCGGTTGGTATCTTGAACCTTTTTTGAATATTGGTACAACCGTAGCTTTACATCAATCACTTGGTACCCTTCCATTAAGTATGGAGTCCTTGAAAATGAGAAATAATGCCCTTGCTATAACATGGCTGAGCTGTTTGGGTACCCTAGGGTGCAGGTTATCTTTCTTAACAATTTATTTGTATCAAGTTTTTTATGTATTGTTGAACCCTGGCTACCCTTAACCACTGCTGTATCTTGCGCATTAAGCTACTCACATTCTTATCTCCATTAAAACCGTCTTTTTCTTGAGTGAAAACGGAGGAGAAAAATTGAATGTAATACCTCAGCCTTCTCCCGGTTGTTTGTAATTATTCTCCCGTTCTCATCTTTTATTGGGCCTACCTGCTCTTTTCTTTTTTACTGTTTATAAATTGGAAGAATTATTTTGGGGGGGTTTCTTACATACTGTGGTGATATGCTTTTCATAATCTATTTTAGCTGCACCGATTTCATGTTTATATTTCTTATTCCATTCCTTGTAGCTCTTGAATGCCAATGTAGTCCCCTCCATCTTATAGTTTTTAAATGCCAGCTTATTTTCTTTGATGTATTGTTTTACCGTTTTATTTAGCCATGCAGGCTTAGCTCTTGATCTTTTATTTTTGTTACCCAATGGTATGCACTTGGTAATAGCATTATGCAATACATTCTTAAAACAATCCCATTTATGGTCAGTGTTCACTGTTAGAAATAAGTTGTCCCCTTTAGTGTCATACACTAGATGACGCAGCTTATCGAAAGTTTGCTTTTTGGAAATTTATCATTCTTGTCAAACCAACACACTTCTCTTTTCTGTACCCAACATGAAAAGTAATCACCCTCTGATCACTATTACCCCATGTATCTCTAATTGTTATGTCTTCAGCTAGGTCTGTGTTATTGAAAATTATTAAATCTAGTATAGCATTCTTCCTGCAACAGGTTTAGGAAACGGCCAACCATTTATTGAATGATCAGTTCCATTTGACCAATCAATATCCAGATAATTAAAGTCACCCGTTATAACAACATTTCCTGGCTTTCCAGCTAATTCTGTTTGGGAATGTAGGTGAGCCTCCTCCTCTTCCCTTATGTTCGTGGTTTATCACACACACTCCCATAATTAGTTTACAACTAGCTTCAGTCTTATCTAGTTCTAGCCAGAAAGACTCAACAGCATTGCAACTCTCTGTCATGATGTTGTCTCGTATGTGCACAGTTAGATTGTTTTTTACATACATGCATCCCCCTCCACCCCTTCTACCAAGCCTGTCCCTCCTGAACAGGTTGTGCCGTGGTACATTAGTTGCCCAGTCATGTGAGCTGTCTAGCCAAGTTTCTGTTATTCCTACTATATCGAAGTCCTCTTCGAGTAGCATAAGTTCATGCAACCTCTAATTTGTTTGCTAGGCTTCTATCATTTATGTACATACTTTTTAGTTTGGTGCAAGCGGTTTGAGTTTTATTATTGCTCATTCCTGCAGCCCAACTAATTTCTTTATCTGGTCTGGGTACAGTATATTACTGATTAGATTGACTTGAGTGAGTCCTCTGTCCCCCCTTGTATTGCAGCCCTCTATATTAATTGCTTCTGTAGTTACTTGCTCTTTGTTTATTATATACATTTTTATTCCCTCCCCCATATTTTAGTTTAAAAGCTCCTCCAATCTTTTAACCATTTTCGATGCTGCACCTTCCCTATTTCGATGCAACCCATCTCTGCTGTAGAGCCGGTAACCGACTGAGAAGTCAGCCCAGTTCTCCATGAACCCAAAACGCTCTTTCCGACACTAGTTCCACTGCCACTTGTTCAGTTCTCTCAATGCTCTTTGGAGTGGCTCTTGGCACCGGCAGTATCTCAGAAAATTCTACCGTGGAGGTCCTTCTCTTCAACCTAGCACCTAAGCCTTTGAACTCTTTTTTTTTTTTTAGGACAATCGGCCTCCAGTTTTTTGTCATTGGTGTCGGTGTACCATGACAGCTGGGTCCTGCCCAACCCCTTCCAATGACCTGTCCATGCACTCAGCAATGTGTCAAACGTTAAACAAATTCTGCAGGGAATCTGCCAGGTCAATTATTGCTTTCCTTCCCCTGGGGGATCTAATGGCCATCAAAGATACCTATTTACACATCACTTTTTTCCCACCACATTAGCGCTACCTGTGGTTTGCTCTGGGAATAGAACATTACCAGTTAGTTGCCCTTCCCATCGGCTTTTAAACTGTACCTACGCTCTTCACCAAGGTGTTAGCACCTGCCCCAGCTCTTCTCTGCTCTCAGAGTTTTTCCATAATGGAATGGAGTACCTGGACGACCTCCTGATGATAGACCAATCGGATAAAACTCTGTCAGCCACTGTCCAGTAGACAGTGCAGATGCTACAAAGATTCAATGGATCTAAAACTCCAGAAATCAGCACTGGATCTGACTCCTCAGTTTAAGTATCTACGCTTAAACTTGGATATGGCCCGATCCAGGGTCTTCCTTCTCTGACAAGCTCCTGTCTCTCCACTGCCATGTGCTGGCCCTACATTTCAGGAGCCACGCAGCCATACACTTTTACGTGAAGGTTTAGGCCTGCTATGAAGCAGCACACTATGTTCAGTTTTACTCCAGCCCACTGCATTTTTTTTTTTTGGCAGTGTGGGACAAGGACTCCCAGTCTTTAGATCCAAACAGAAGAAAAGCGGGCCGCACACCAGCTTCTGCTGGGATAGTTTATTGAAGCTTGTACCTTATCACTGGTGTCCCGCCCAAAGTCCCCCCCCTGTGACTCGTTTCACCCAATCACAGGCTTCGTCGTAGAGATCTCTGGTGATACAAGCTTCAATAAACTATCCCTGCAGAATCTGGTGTGCAGCCAGCCATTATTTTCTGTTTGTATGGGCTTATATTGGAACGTACTCCCAGCGGGGCAAGCACCCGCCTCACTCCTTTCCTGAGCCTTGGTGGAGTGGTAGTACCTTTTGTGTGTCGTCCTTCCACTCTTTGAATTGTCCCATAGCATGGCATTATGGATCCCAGATCTGACACTGGAACTGGGAAAATCCTTCTTGATGACCTAAAA